CATATATCGGTGCACCATAGTTGCGCACCCATGGGCCCCAATCTCTGCCAAGCCTGGGCTCGAAATAACGATTGTTGCTGATCGGCCGATCTTCTGCCAATCCGCTTCAAATGACGCGTCCTTAAAGCTCGCGGCCCAAATTGTTCAACCTTAGTAAGGTTGACCTATGGGTGGCGAGAGAAGAAGTTGACTTGTTGGGAGTTGGGCTGTTTGCTTTCGCCCAGTTTCGCGCTAGACCCTTGGGGTTTTCGTTGACACGGCAAACCGGTGGGAGCAACCTGGGTTTGCTTCAAGAGTCCCAAATTGCAATCAACATATTGTTGTTGTTTCCTGCTCTCCCATTCGACAAAAAATATCTGGCCAATCAGATTGCATCTCACTTCTCGTAATCGTCCTTCGCAACCCAAACAGCACTCAAAACATCACCCCCGTCAACCTTAGAATGCTTGGCCAGCGCGCCCCGCAATTTGGGCCGTGAGCTTTAATGTGCTTATGGGGTTTCCTTGGTTGTGGACTCCCTTCAGACCTTCCCTTTCGTCCTCCTCATCCTCTCCCACCTGATTTCTAGCTGCTTCAATTCTCTTATGTGGTTCTTGGTTGATGATTGTGAGTGAGTTAAGTTTCAGCTCCAACGTACCCCCTAGTGCGCCAAAATTCATAACTCAAGAAATATGTCACCTTTTCATGCAATACATATTGGGAATTGTAGCCACGGTCAAGTGCTATAATATATCTTAAATTGGTGAAGTTGTAACAGTGAACTTTCCGTCGACGTTGTTTCTTGTGAAGTCGACATTTCTGTCCAGAATTTTAGTCTAACGATTTTTGAGTTATTTCAGCCCCAATTTTTCTTTGACTCCGTCCTTAATTCTATCAAGAACTCGCGTCCTTCTTTGGTGTGAATGTATTTGGTGTGGCAAATAGAGATGAACTTGGTTGGAGAATTTTTTTCCCCCTTTTTTCCGAGCAAGCAATCTTACTCTTTTCTGAGTTCTTCTAGTTCGGGTTACGTCATTTGAAATTGGCGTTGTACAGTTGGTAGTGGCCAATTCTACCTGTATATTGTAGCCATAAAGTCGCTGAGGTGGTAGTCCTTCAGGCAGGTTGTTGGGAGAATTGGACTGATATCGTTTCAGTAATTCTCACAGTTCGCTCGGTATAGCTGCAAGTAATTTCAAAAAACGTTGCTTGGCTTCTCTGCTTCTCCTATCTCGCTGATGTCTACATCATACATGTCAATTCTAAATGTGATCGACCATTTCATCATGATGGTGTTGACATAGACCGTTGAAGACTCAGGCGACTGCCAGCGTGGTAGCGAAACCCAGTTACTCCCACCTTGCACCGTGCAGGCGCCTTTCATCAAGTAAGTTTGCGGGTTGTATAGTTGCGGACAATCACGTCCGAGTAAAATATTGGATTTGTAAAAGTTAGAAGAAAGAAGAGGGATGCACTAGCAAGAATGAGGATACAAATAGCAAACCCTAGAAGGGTTGTACTCGCTATAGAGCACCCCACTACAAGCTAGAGCATAAGATAACATTCTGACACACCCCCATAGCCAAAGTGGGGTGTAATCAGCAGAGCAAGCAAAGCAGTACAAGCTCAGGGTGGATCACAATGTCACCACACATTCTGAGCACAAGTTCAAGAAGCAATAGTTTAAGGTTCACAATTATGAGCAAAGCTAGTGGTAGTCACAACGGGCAAGTGAGGAGGAGGAGAGAGAGTGAGAGGCGAGGAGATAGGAGGCGACGGCTGAAGCTGCAGACCCACGGGCAACAGGAGGCACACTGGCACAGCGGCTACCGGAACAACGCTCCGGAATACTGGAGTAACTGGCCCCGCGGCTAAAGTAGCGGCAGACGAGCAACGGACCCACGGGCGGCTGGCACAGCTGGCTACGACTGGGCTACCGGAGCAACTCCCCGGACTACAGGTGCTACTGGGGACACGACGGCAACCTCCATGCAGCTTCCCCAAACTATCCCAATCCCCCTGGCACACACCCGCTGCTACACCACTAGCTCCACTCCCCCTTCACCCCCCCTTAGTACCACTCCACCGGCTCCAACACGTCCACCCCCCCTCGGCGGCAACTACAGCACAGGGAGACGGAGGAGGAGGAGGAGCAGGGAATGGCACACAGTGAGGGCACCCCCATACCCCTCACCCCCAAACCCTAATTCAAGAGAATGGGGAGTAGGAGGAGTGGGGCGCCAGTAGAAGCACGGGGGGACAGCGGGGAGTGCAGGGGTATCGAGAAAGGGGCCCACCACGGGCCTGGTGCAGACGCCCGAGCCGCGCACACGCGGCCCGAGCCGCGCGCGGGCCTGGCGCCGTCCGTACGGGCCGCGCGCGGGGCTTGCGCCGCCCGTACGGGTCGCGCGCGGGTCTGGCGCAGCCCGTACGGGCCGCGCGCGGGCGTGGCGCAGCCCGTACGGGTGGCGCGCGGGCCTCGCGTAGCCCGTACGGACCGCGCGCTGCCTGAACGGGCCGCCCGCAGGCCACGACGGGCGACAGGGGGCGACGCGCGGGTCCCCGTCGCCCGTCGCGGCGCCTCCAGAGGGCGACGCGGCGAACGACGGGGCAGAAGCCCGCCGCGCGCCTCGGGGCGCACAGCGGACAGAGAACCGCCGCGCGCCTCGGGGAGCACGGCGGGCCGAAAACCGCCGCGCGCCTCGGGGCGCACGGCGGGAAGAAAAAGTGCCGCACGCCACGGGGCGTGCGACTCAGAGAGTAGTGGTAGAAGTTGCAGCGGAAGCTAGGAGGTGGTAAGCCCACCCACAGGATCGATCCAAGGGGATCGACCTGCTTTGATAGCATGTGAAATTTAGAAGAAAGAAGAGGGATGCACTGGGATGTTCATACGGCGCGGCTCGGGAAAAACCCCGCCCACGCCTTGGGTTGCACGGGGCGCGGAGACATCGCGGGGAGCGTGGGGCGAAGTCGGCCACCCAGGATCCCACCAGGTTTGGACCTAGCGCGGCCCTGCGTGGCTGAGTGAAACCCACCAGGCTGCCACCGAAAGCTCCGCGGCCCCCAGAAAACCGAAAGAACCCACCTCGTTCTTACGCGCCGATGCATGCGCGACTCGGCAGAAAACGAACGCGATTGGTCGGTAACATTGACGAGCGGGACATCCCGCGCATGCAACCGCGAGTTCGCGACACGAAAGGAGTGCTACTACTGGTTGTGCTCTCTCGCAACTTATCGCGAACAAAATTCGCACAAGCATAGGTTCGTTAACCCGCACAGCGAGATCCGGTTCGGTTACAGCTGGCGCGATCTGGTAGGCTCCATGCCAGCTGACACGTGCCGCAATTTGAACGAGCCACACAGCTGTCGCCGTTTCGTCGATGCGCGATCGCGGTAACGTGTCACGCACGTCCACGCAGTGTCCGGTCTTTACGCCGAGCACGCCCACAGTTTCCACTTTCCGATCGCCAGTTGCACACCAAGCTCTACCCCCTCACGACCCACTAGGATACACCAGACACCAGTATCGCGGTCGCGTTGTGTGCCGCGCTAGAATTTCCGCGAGCACATCGGTCGCAAGGCAGACGCGTCTAACTCACACCCGGGTGGACAACTAGTGACCGCGCATCATGTTGACGCACGCTGTGAATACGAGTAGGTGCAATCTCGCACGCCGCATGCATACCGTGAATCGCGTTGCGGCGCCAATACTTCACGACTCAATCAATGCTTCGGGCAACACAACCGCGCATCAAATCCATAATGCTGAACCACCTACCGCTCCCGTGCATGGGGTGAACGCGCTCAACCCCACATGGAGCACCCCATACGTGCAGCCACTGGTTTTTGGGTCCCGGACGCCCACGTTTCACCCACAGCAACTGGTCAACGGGCTCCACCTAGCACCGCGGCCACAAATACCGTTTGCGGCAGCGGCGGTCGCGTTACAGAATCAACCGGGTAATGCAGTCGCGTCCCCGTCCGTGCCCAGTAGCCAGCTCTTTGGGATGCCCGTGCGTGGCTTCGTAGGGCCGCAGTACTCGAACGTGGGATTCAGGTACGGGTACATCGGCGTTCAACCAGACCCCATGGTGCACGCATCCGCATCTGTCGCGACGCCTCCTGTCGCGCCGTCAACACCATTCTCCAGCGCGATTCATCCGGAAAGCCAGCCAGCGGTGCAAGCCCCGCCAGAAGCATTAGTTGTCGGTTTGGACACACAAGCGCAAACAGACGGCCCATCATCGAACGCGGTTGCCGGTGGTTTAGGGCGTGCGGTGAATGGTGAACCGGGGGTGAATGCAAGCGCGCGTGCACATTCGCCGCCAATATGGAACGTCAACTCACTGTTGCCCGAAAACCCCGACGTCCACATCCGCACCCCCGCGCATCCGACTGTAGCGTACGCGACTGGTGTAGGTGGGCAACCATAGGGGAACGCGGGGAACGCGGGGAACGCGGGGCGTGGAGCGGGTGCAAGCGGAAACGCGGTAAGGGGAAGAGGGACGGGTACGAGAGGGAACGCGGGAGGAGGGACAGGGGAGAGAGGGAACGCGGCTAGAGGGAGAGGTGCGAGACGAAGGGGTGGGAGAGCGATCGCGGGACGTGGGACAGGTGCTGGAACGAACGAGTATAGTGCGAACGGCCAGGGAGCGCATGGGGTGACACATAACGGCGGCCGGGGTAGCGGTGTTAACGCAAACGGCGGGTCAGGTAACGGGCCAGTTAATAGACCGCGTATAAAGAGGCGGAGAGTCGATGTAGTGCCGCACACGGCACGCAATGGTTCCCGGGAGGGGAGCGAGGGGACAAGCGATGAGGATGACGAGGACGACGCGTACGATGCGGACGATAGTTGGAATGACGATGACGAAAACTACCTAACCAACTCGCTGTCCGCGCTCAACGAGGAGGAGGCGGAAGACAACGAACGGGTGCGGGGTACGCGGAGGGACATTGAGGTCCCTATCGCAGATTGGAACAGGCTAGGTGTGGACGACACGCCGGCCGCGAAACGAGAGATGTGTTACGGAATCCTCTACGGTGTCTCTCAGGCCACGCTGAAGAAGTATCGCGGTTGGGCCAACGAGTACAAGCGGTTCATGGCTCACGAGCTGCCTAAACTGGACGCGGGTAGGTTTGGTGATGAGGCCGCGCTGAGAAACGCGAACCTCGACGAGATTGGGGCCGCGCTCGAACAGAACATGGGTGGTGATTGGAAGATGGCGGAGAGCGACGAGCAGTGGTTCCACGGCCTTGAGACAAATCCGTGGCGCTTACGCAAATACGTGACCTTCCTCGTGAACGAGACAGTCGCGCAGGCGGACAGGATGGCCACACTCAAGCGGCCGCAGAAGACCTTGAAGAAGAGACGCCAGTGCACCCCGGCAATGCTGATGGGGCGTCTCAAGGCTTTGAACCTGCTCATCAAGCTGGACGGGGCCATCTTCAGGAAGCCCGTTCTGAACCTGCTGCGCGACTTTGCGGAGTGTCGCATCTGAGTCCGCGTTCAAGTACGCGACCAATACAAGCGGTTTATCGCGTAAGTATACGTTCTCAGTGCACGCGTTTAATGCCTGACAATCCCGCGTCCACTAACACCCGCACTATCGTCCCAATCCATGCGTAGGGAACACATGGATCGCCATCGGGGCATGGCCGCGGACACGTACACCCCGGACGAGTTCAAGCATATGATGCGGAAGACCAGCATGGACGCGATCTTGACCAGCTTCACACTAGCCAAGAAAGCATACACGCAGGCAATGCATCGCGACCTCTGCATCCGGACGATGACCGTGCTCGGTCATCACACTCTGGCCCGCGGATGCCCGATCAGAAACCTGCAGCTGCGAGACATGATGATGTGGAAGCTAGGCGCAAAATCGGAGACCGATCCAGTTAGAAACGCGTTTATGTTCGTTTGCGCGTGCAGGACGGGCAAGACAAACAAGGACTTCTTGCTTAACTACATATCTGCTGTGAGGCACATCGATTGGACGCTGTGCGCGGTCGGAGCCACGCTGCTGTGGCTGCACTGGGTGTACGACTTGGTTCCCATCCTCTATGAAGACATAGCCCCCCCTCTCGACTTCACGGAACCCTCCACGTGGTACGATCAATACCTGTTCTTCCCCCTTCGCGCGGGCAACGAGAAGCAAATACCGCCCACGACTCATCACGACTGGGCGGCGAAAATACTCCAAGACGCTGGAATCACATGCTCGCGTGCGGTACACGCGACCAGGGCTGGGGGGGCGCAGCACGCGTCCGCGGACGGAATGCCTTCGGATCAGCTGGCGAGGCTGGGGGGTTGGCGCTTCATCGACGTGATGACTAAGCACTACCTCACAACCATTCCAAGGGAGGCCGTGCTACTGAAGGCGGGCTTCACCGGGGTTGACGGTGACTACTTCCTGGGTCGCGCAACTGTTCCGGTCAGCGATAAGCTGGATGAGCTACTGAGGAAGCACATTTTCCCATGGGCCACCGCGGACAAAGGACAGCAACAGGTATGTGTGGTCCGCGCATACGCGACCGTGAGCATCTCACATACCACTCTGGCACCGCGTTCACTACCTTGTTGTTTTATTGTCACCGTGCAAGGATTACAACCGCAGGATGGTGAAAACGCAGAAGCCGGAGAAGCAGGACACCGCAGGGCTAAACATACTGAAGGAGTTGGATGGGGACGCTAGGATGGCGGTCGCGCAAGACCTGGCGATGTATTACATCCACCAGCCGCGACACCCGTACGTGGTCAACAATCCGCTCTGCCAGACGGAGGAATTTGCGTCGTGGGCTGCAGATGTCTCATTGGCAAATCAACTCGCCATAGTACAGCGCAACACACCTACACTGACCCAGCCCGCAGTAAGTACTGAATGGTCGCGTTATGTTTCTTCCGTGATGTCAATGCCAAACCATAACAAGTTCGCGGTCACTTTCTGTCCATGCAGGAGGTGAGTACCAGAATGGACGCGCAGAACCAAGTGACCGTCCTCACTGAGTACTTGACTTGTTCACAAGCGGAGAACACCAGACTGGGCCTAGAGTTGGTCGCGACTCATAAACGGGTGAAAGAGCTGGAGGGGCTGCTGGAGGATCGCGATCGGAAACTGGCCGAGAAGGACGAGCGCGTGAATGATTTGGAGGCTCAGCTGTTGCGGCTCACCGTGAGCAGCTCAGGGCCGACCGCGGTTCCGAACCAGGCAACCACTCCTGGAGCCGCGGCCGCGTCGACCAATGCCACAACTCCCACCGAGCAGGGGACGCGGAAGAAACCCGCAGCGCCTACCAGGGAACAGACAATTCGGGACGCGATCGTCCTTCCATGGGTCAACGCCACCAAACCGTCAGACGGATGGAAGCTGTACAAGACAACGCACCCGCTGATCCTCGAGAGTCGAGAGTCGCTTCTGGCCCAACCCCGCGGCGCAGTTACGCGAATGGCCGCGCTCATTGGGGAGGAGGGAGGCGGCCAGAACGCGATAAACCGTGTTAAGCGAATCATGAACTTCATCGCCCACAGGGTGGAGCAAGGAGACGACATCGCGGTAGTGCTCGACAAGCTCGACCTCATGTCAGGTGCTGTGGGCATGTCGGGTGTATCGGAAGGGATCGCGGTAAAGAAGAAGAGTGTTGACCTGGAAGTGAGCCAGCTAAAGAAGGGTTCTCCGGTGGAGGTGCAGTTGCGTGTGAAATGGATGCTTGTTCGCGACCGTCTCATCAATGCCTCACTTCCCGCTTCTGAGTTCACAGTCGCGTGGCCCCAGTACTGTGCGCTGATGCCAGACTTGCAGTGTTGATGTTTTGCGCGAGGATTATGCTGATTTACATCGCGGCCGTGGTAATCGCGGGCTGCAGTTGCCTAATGTACATAGATTGTTCGAGACGTAGTGTGTACAATGATAATGTGTGGGAATACCTGAGACGAATGCACATTACTACTAAAATGGCACACGCGCAAACACACGCACCCACTGAATCCTACAAACCTACACATATTGTTCCAAATGTGAACACTAGGTTCTCACTCGCACACGTACACGCACACACACACACACCCACACACAGAAACACACACGATTTACTACATGCACCAGCACAATCCACCGCAAGTAGAACTCAAGCATGGCGGACAGGCTGTGCACATGCTCCTCGATACTACACGCACTCAAGTCCGCTTCTTCAGACGATCCTTGGGCAGGGCAAGGTACAAACCCAAGGACTCCATCTGCTTCCTTGCCACCGAGCAGTCACACCAGGTGATGATAACGTCCACCGTCTCGCGGGCGGCCAACTCAATGTGCCTGAGATCGCGAGACTTTGCCACGACCTCGTTCACGACTCCGGACACGATCGCGGCGGCGACTGCCTTCGGGTCCGCGACAACCTGTGGCTCATCTTCCTCGCGGCGATTGCGCTTCCGTACCGCATTGATGACGTACGCGGATACTACGGGGAAGAGACGGCTTCGCTCTCCATAGCAACCAGCAGCACGCGCGGCCAGGTTTCCATTATCCGCCGCGGCAGTGACGTTAGAACCGCGAGTGACCTCCCACACCATTACAATGGCGCATGCGATCGCTCCCGCGTAGTCCGTCGGCTCCACGTCGCCGAGATCCACTTCTTCTGCTGCAGCCTCCTTGCCTACCACCGCGGCCCATGCAATCACGTTGGTGGTTTGCATTCCGGGCTTGGTAAGCCCGCGGTAGGAATCGAACATGCGTTGCCACCTGCCACGCAGTGGGTTGGAGCGGTCAGAACATAATAACATACCAAACCGTGTGAACGCACTAGATGATGGTGGATTGGCAAAGCTCACCTGTCCTTGCTTGCCACGAGGTTGCGGTGGTGCATGGTGATTAAGAGGCCCGTATGTAACCCCTCTGCGATAGACAGGTCCGCGGCCCATTCTCGGATCTGCTTCTGGCTCAGGTTCAGCCCGGGGTCGACCTTCCCGTCGTGGGGATACATCGCGATCGCGGTCTTGTACTGCAGGTCTTCGCGGTCGCCGTGTCCGAGCCATCGCTTCTTCCCCCCGAGATGGGGTTCAGAAACCAATCCGGGCCTGCCCCTGGGTGGAGCGCGGATGCCGCAGCCCTTGCGCTTGGGGCCGGTGTCACCATGTCCTCCCGTTGTGCCACTTTCCACGATCACGGGGTCTCCTTCTTGCCCGCTCGCGCTCTCTTCGCCGCTATAAATATCGACCGCGGCCTCCCCATCCTTCTCTCCTCCGTCGCCCGCCTCGACCCACCTGCTCACTAGACCCTCCAGCTCCTCATCCGCATCGTCCTCGTCGATCGTGTACACGGGTGGAGTGGGCAACTTCTTGCCACCCCGTCCGCGTTTCTCCACCTTGCCCTCGACCGAGGCCGCGATAGGACTTGCAGATGCCAGTGCGCTGTGCATATGTCCCGCGGTGATTGCAGCACGAGCGGGTGCGAGCGTGGTCTGCCTGCCCTTTGCCGTAGCACCCGCCGCGGACTGGACCTCACGCCTCGAGGCCAGCGAACGCGCAGCAGCCGGCGCCTCTCCATCCTCCGCCTTACCCTTGCCCCGCCCCATAGTACTTGTCACTGGCGCGGTTGCCCCGGCAGGGCCCGGTGGTTTGGGTGCAGCTTCTCCAGGTGGGATGGAGCGCGAGCTCGAACCCGGTTGACCAGTCAGTGCTGCACCTCGCGATGCAGCGCCCCACTTCTGCTTCAGCATGTCCTGCACGCTCGGATTGCGCACCGCGGCCACTGCCTGGGGACCTCTCTGCCTCTTCGCCCCCCGTTGATTCTCCGCCTTCGCACCCGCTGCCCTCTTTCCATGCTCTGCATCCCCGGGCTCGGCAATCTCCGTCGCGGCCGTTCCTTCATTATCCGTGCGCGGAGGGGGGGCTCCTCCAACGAGCGCGATGAGGGTGTGCAGCGTGTTCGTGACCCCGCTGGTGGTGATTGCCCGCTCTGCTGTCGCGGAGACCGCGGTCGACATGTTGTCGATCTTCCGCGCAAACTCGTCCGTCAGCTTCTTCTGAGCGGCTTCCATGGAGTCTGTCACCACCCCCTGCTGCTGTCCCAGCCTCGCGTCCACTCGCCCCAGCACCACCGCCTCCTGGTTACGGGTATCGACCAGGGCCGCTCTTTCCTGCCCGATCGCCCTCGCCTCCTTCTCCAACACCCGAACCGCATTAGCAAGCGCGGACGCAAGCTCCTCAGAGCCCACGACCGCGACACCACCAACCCCCGACTCCTGGCGTTTCTTCAGCCGTGCGTTCTCTTCGGCCAGCTCTGCAAGCCTGCAGTCGAGCTGCAGGATCTCGGCAGCAAGCTTATGCGATGGCAACGAGGACAGGGACGCATAATCACGCGGACCTGTCACGGGACTCTTGCCCGCGACCTCACCACTCGGGCCCGCGCTTCCAGCACCGGGGGCCAAGTGCTGCGCGAGGTGCTTGATGCTCTTGCCGGATGTAGCGGGCCTGCTGGATGCCGCGGCCGCTACCACATGAGCCTCTGCCTCCTCCTCGCTCGACTCCTCCCCCTCACGCGCAACACCGCGGTCAGCCTCATCGCGGGTTGCACCCTTAGTCGCGGTATCCTTCGGCCCCTTCGTCATCAGCGTGGACCTCCGTCCCCCCCCGAGCACCTCCGCGATTCGAAACACCAGCGGCACCTGTGAGAGCGAGAACACCATGGTCAGCAACCTGCGCACCCGTAGCCTCTTTATGCACATTCCCCGTTTCAGCACCTTCAGCCTCACCACCGTGCATGGGTCGCGTCAAGTCCACGCTCAAGTTGAACGCGAGCTCTTCGGCGGTGTGGTACGCCTCGTGCCGCAGTGCATTGAGAGTCTTCGCAGTTGGCCTCGAGAATTGCGGCCCAGATCCACTGGCGGCGACCGCGTCCAACTGGGCAAGGATCTTGTCGAACGCGAACAGACAAGCGATGTTGCCGCAGGAGCCCTTCAATGACGTCGCGTCCTGGAAAACATTACATGGGGTTTGTTAGCACCACTGCAACTATTGGCGGTCATCGAGAACACGAAAACAACACAGACGTACCAGATCCAACAGACGCTCGGGATCCTTAAGCTGGCGGGAGCGGGTGCACTGAATGGAGCCGCGCACAAAATCCTCGTCGACGCGACCCTGAAACCACCTGCCCAAAAGCACATACATATCCACGCGAACGCACGGTTAGCGACATGAGCCTCGGAGCGGAAATGAATGTGGTACTGATGACAAACCAGAACGCGGTACTCACTCCACAATCGCATCAGCCGCGGTGACGTGTTCCGCACCACCAGTGGGAATAGCAACGCGAACGAACCGCGTGTTCCACGTCTCGTCACCGTCAAGCGACAGGTGGTCGGGGTGAAGCAGAATGAGCATGCTCGCGTTCGAGCTCTTCTTGTCGACCACGTCCCTGAACGTGCCATTGACGACCGCGTTAAACCACTTAAACGAGTGCAATCCCTGTACAAGTGAACACTCTCAATGAAAACTGACTCGGACCAGATGCAGAAAACCACCAGGCTGCACTCCATCAAACCGGCAAAGGCTTGGTCCGCTTCATCGCGACTCGCGACTATGTCCGCGACAACACCGCTCGTCACTATTCGGACGTGCTCATGCACCTCCTTCTCCAGATACCTCCGGACAATCACGCTGTGCGGGACGGTGTAAAACAAGGCAGCAAAAGCTCAAACATCAACAACGCGACCTAAAATCACAGCGGAGGTATGCCGCGGCCTGCACTGCCCACTAGTAACTATCGCTGACATGTCGCGAACAGCCTAAGCACCGCGACAATAACCAACGCGTGCACACTAGAGTCAGGGAATGGAACGCATGGATCTCACCCGTTGACAAAGTCGAACAGATGGGCTGTGAGAGGATGCTTATCCTCTGCGAGCAGCTTCCACTGTTCGGGGGGGAGGTCCACCGTGGTTCCCGCAACAGAGATGATGGCCGGACAGGAGGCGGCCTCCTTCGAGCCAGCTCTAAGCGCCTTCATTTCGCGGTTCATAACTGGTTACGACCGCAAAAGCGCGACCAAAGGAACGGTGTATATAGGACGAAACGTACGCGAAACAGTGCTCGCGTCTAGTACGAACGGTTCGCAAATCTGTGCTCGCGGCAGAAAATGAGAGCTACGCTAGACGCTACCAAGCGCGAACGCGGTCATACAGAGTCTCTGCTAGCACTAGGCGACGAGGACCTCAATGGGGAACGGGCGAGCAGGAAGAAAACAAGATGTGAAGACGGATAACGAAAATGAGCACCAGGTGCCCGTACCGAGAACCTAAGAGTGGGCCGGGATGGAAACAAGAGCCGGCACTCGCGGTCACACTGCGCGGGCCTCTCACCCAGCGGGGAGGTTCCGCAACATGCACGCTTGTGCATCCAACGTCCGCCACGTTGCACACCATCCGCGAGCCCCGTTCGGAGCGGGCTGCCAACTCCCGCGGAGAGAGAATTTTCCTCGTCGCGACCGCCGAGGTCCGAGGTCCGATCGGGCACACCAATTCGGGTCACCCGAATTAACAGTACACTCTGTTATATTACACGTAAACTCGCAACGCGTTAGAGAGATTTATAAGGAAAAAAAAAGGATTTATTTCGTTTGATCATTTCGTTCGATCTTTCGAATGGCGTACTCTCCGCTCCGTACATTTAATCTTTCCGCGAACGATCGTTCGCGAGGGTCCTGCGAGCATTCCGACGCTCGTAAACGACGGCCATTGGCCGGCTCCATTTCCGTCGCTCCGAAACCGGCTCCCATTGGCCGAATCCGTTTCGGCCAGCCCGAACTGCCAT